TCATGTCGAGAGACGTGGTTGTAGAAGTCCTTCAACCTGATGATGAGCTAAAAGGCTCGAAATCCGGATCGTTGCAAAACAACTTACTGTGAATAGGAACTATCTTTTTAAAAAGGGTTACCTTTCATTATCTCATATTATCACAAAATACCCTTATCCTCAACATTTTCGATTGGCAACTTCCTATCAGAATAAATGATAGTTCATCTTGAGCAGAACATTGCACTTTTCATCTTTGTCGATTTCTCATTAATCTGATGCAATTTAGCTCATAAATATTTAAATTTTAACCCAAATAAATAAGAGGGTTTTGAAGATTGCTCGATAGGTACATGTATTAGTCGATGTATTATGCTTCTCCTTTTAGAGCTATTGTTTCCCCCCTACTGTGCTTACAGTACACCTGAATCCTAGTGCATCAAGGAACTCGATTAGTAGGCCAGGTTTCAGTGGTTGAATCTCTTCTATGGTTACACTGTATGTCCCAAATCACTTCTTTCTGCGGACAAGTATAGCACCACAGTTTGTTGTAGGTGTGTTAGTGTCTCCTCTGCTTCTTTGCAGAATCTTCACTTGCCCTGTTGGGTTATACCAGTCTTCTTCAGACGTCCATTTTCCAGTTTGCGTCCTGTTTAGATCCTGTTAATACTAATGTTTTCCTCTTCCTTTAATACATTCTGTTGCCTCTCTTTTCCAAAGTTTGTTAGGTGGTTCTTGGATTGTTTTTTTTCCGATGAGTTGTTCCCTCATTTTCTTTTTATCCTTCTATCTGAGGTGTTCATTGATGGTGTGGATTCCTATGCCACAGAAGGCCTCGGGTACTATCAGCGCTACAGCAGTCCATCATCTTGCAAGACATCCAGTTTCTCGTTGCCTTGTACAGCCACATGACCTGGAACCCAACAGAGGCTGACTTTGTTTTGCATACTTAATTTGTTTAGTTTGATTGTGATATTCTGCACCATCTTTGAGCTGACGTGTTTGAACCTAGTGCTTTGATGGTCGCTTGGCAATCTGACATGATAGCTATATTCTTGCTTTTGTATCCTTTATTCAAATTGAATTGGGCACATCTTTCAATTGGGTAGATCTCAGCTTGGAAGGTACTGGTGTATTTTCCCACGTGTTTCGAGTATTTGGATCCAAGAAATAATCTCCTGCCCCCTACCGTCTTGCGATCTAGATCTGCCATGTACCAGTAGATGGTGCCTAACCATCCCTAACCATCCCTTAAAGGAGGTGTTTTACTCTCTTTCCCGTTCTTTTTTAGTACCTAAGCAAATCGAAGCTATGAATTGGCTTGTTTTGACGAAGTTGCTTTAACCATAAGTCTTTCATCTCAAGGGGTCGATCATTTCACATTTTGTTTGGTGTGATCCAATTTTGATAGAGATCCGATTTGAGATAGAGAAGCATACGTTTGATCATGTTATATATATAAGTGGGAAGTTTATGGGCCGATAAACAGCTGAGGTCATCGCCGGCCCTCTGCGTGTTTTCCATCTTCTTCTTTCGCGCATATTTTGTTTTAAAAGTGCAGACATTTGTGCATCTCGATCTGGTTACTAACTCTCTGATTTCAGATATATACTACGGCGATATTCTAGAATGCTAGTCTCCCGTTTGTACCTCAGGTTGTCAAATACAGAATAAAAATAAGACATACAATACATATATATACATCACCACAAACCTAGATGTCTGGTCACATTCATTCCCCCAGAGTACTCGATATTCCTCGGGGCAGGGTTATAAGCAACCCCTTCCTTTCACGCTAATAAATTACTTTTACTCTCCAGAGGTCATACACTCACCCAAGAGTACTTGATATTCCTCGGGGCGGGGTTATAAGCAACCCCTTCCTTTCACGCTAATAAATTACATTCATTCCAATAAATTAACACAAAACACAACACTCGATAGAAACATAGAGGTTTGGTCACTTTCGTTTGATTCTGTTATCCCAATTATAAGTTTTGGTCTTATAACACCCTCCTTATTCATTACCTTTGTGTCCTGGTACTCAAGATACTATTATGTTTTCCAGATTTTGGAGTATTCGATTATTTTGTATTTACGACGATCTATTTGCCAGTGTAACCTCTTTTAAGATTTTCTGTGTCTCAAGCATTGCTAGTATGTATTTCAGCTTGAAAGCCGGAGATGTTCTACTCAAATTTGATAGTTCATATTACAATTGGCTGACTAAAATGGAGCAAGTTGTAGTTTGATAAATTTGTTGGTGGAAAGCTATTTCTGGGATCATAAGTTTATTTACTACTGAAGTATGACTAAAATTGTGTGTGCTCTCGTCCCATTTATTTAGATTTTTAATATTTATATAGAAATCGTGAGATGCGGTCTGGTGTGATGTAGGTTTCAGAAAAACATTTTCTTTATCGTGCCAACGTTTCGATCCTTATTGAGATCATCTTCAGCGCCTGGGATTTACAAACATTGTGTATATATTACAATTACATTTTGGATGTGGAAAAGTGAATTTATACAATGCAAAATATATTTTTTATATTCAATCAAAGTATTTCTATTAACTCAAAGTGTTTTTCTTCTGTGTAATTGTGCCATTCTTGCGTGTCGTGTCGAGAGTGCCAGTGAGATTTTGCTATTTTGTGTTTATATACGTTGGATTTTGAAGGGGTGGAGAAGGATATCGGTATAGAAAAGGCAGTTTTGTACAAGGCGTCGGCTTCTTTGAGGTGAAAATAGCCGACGAAGGGAGAAAAATGTGTTGGTAATGGTTTGGCCAGATTATCCTTTCAGGATTACATAGAAAGGGATAAATAGGAAAAGGAAAGCTAAATTGTTGGGAAATTAGACTATGTGAAAAATCTTTGATGTGTGGAATGTAATGTGATGATATAGGTATGTTATCTATATTGAATTTGATTAATGATATTGGCGTAGCTGCGACTGAGTTTACATGTATCTGTTCTGCAATTGATGCTGTGTTTATCTCTGTTGATATAAACCATTTCTAAGAAATTACGTTTATATTTGTATTGTGTGTAATACTTTTGGATTTTTGAAGTCGAAATTGTGTTGGTGTTCAAAATGGTGGGTAGCGAGTGCTACCCTATTTTGCTTGGGTTTTTTGCAATCATAGATATGTTGCTTTACTCTCTTGTCCAGATATTGGGATGTTAGACCGATATAAGTTGCCGGACAGTTTAAACAGTTGATCTTGTAGATTACGTCAGATTTATTTGTTATTGGTGTGGGATCTTTAATTTTGGAAAAAAGTGTTTGAATTGTTTTATAATTTTTGGGAGCTATTTTGAAGTTATCGGACAAAAGAAATGAGTTTAATTTACGTGATTGGCCTTGGATAAATGGTATGGAAATGTATGCTGGTTTGTTTGTATTCGATAGACTTAATGTAGTATTATTAGTAATAGTGGATGGTGTTATTGTTGATTATTCTGTTAATTATGTGTTTAGGGTAGAGATTGTTATGGAGGATCTGTTTGTATATCTTTATGTTTTTGTGGTAGAAGGATTCATGGCTTATGGTAATCATTCTGTGAAGTAACCCTTTGGCCGTGTTATTATTGTATGAAGAGGATGGCGAGATGTAAAGTTGAGGTAGCGATCTGTGTTTCTTGGTTTTTGATACCAATCGGTGATTAATGTGCCATCTGGTTGTTTTATTACGAGTGTATCTAAAAATGGTATTTTTTTGTTGTTTTCGATTTCGTGTGTAAATTGTAGGCGTGGGTGAAAGCTATTAAATGTATCTAATGTAGTTTGAATTTGATCTGTGCAAACTGCTGTCAATATATCATCTACGTATTTAGTGAGGAAGGGTAGTGTGAAAGGAAGTTGTGGTATGACTGTATTTAGTAGATGTGTCATGATTATGTCTGCCAGTATCGGGCCTAGGTTGCTACCCATGGCTATACCAAACAGTTGTTTGTAAAAATGATTGTCGTATGTAAAATATCCGTTAACACAGCAGTGTCGGATCATTGTTACGAACGTGTTCTTTGATAGTGTTGTGTGTGGTGTTATGTTGGGCCATTTATTTTTAATAATGTTCAGTGTTGTGTCTATTGGGATGTTGGTAAACAGTGATGAAACATCTACATTATATGTGTTATCTGTGATGTTGTTGAGTATGTTGGTTAGGTATTTTGTTTATATGTGGGTGAGTTTACAAATGAAATTATGGGACTTAGAGAGTGTTCGGGTTTATGTGTTTTTACAGATCCATATAGTTTCGGGGTGTTGGCGAGTTGTTTCGAAGTGATTTTTATGTGTATATGTCGATTTCTTTTCGTTTAAGTGTTTCTTGGAGAATTTTGTATGTCTGATGAGAGTAGGAGTAGGGTCTGATTTGATTATGCTGTATGTGTTTTTGCCTGTGATAATTTTATTAATTTTTTCCTTGTACTCTTTTTTACTGATTGCTACTGTTTGTTTGGTCTTATCAGCAGAAAGAATGAGTATGTCAGGATTTTTGATATTTTTTTAGATTTTTAAATTTCAAGCTATTTTAAAATAACTTCTATCCAAATATTCATTCTCCTAAAACTCATTTGAACCGGCGTAGGGTCCTTCTATGTCTGACTCCATTGGTTTTTTTGAGTTATTCAAACACGTTTCGGTATTGAGCCATCTTCAGTGAGGGACTCCTTGAGTGAGACCCTGTGCTGTTGACCGACTCGCAGACCAAAACCCATCAACTCTAACACAGCTAGTTAGGCTACGTTACTTAAAAGATATGTGCATAATTAAAAACCCGCAAGTGGAGACAGACCCAGTAAGTGACACTGTGCCGGTACAACATGAGTTCACCTACTCGCAGACCAAAACCCATCATCAACTCTCCTAAAACTTGCACGGTAAATTTTTCTCGACTTGCCGAATAACATGTGATGTGCAAATAACCCTGCGACCTTCTTTCAAGAGACTTCGATTCGAAAAATAATCTTTAAACAATCAAAACTGCTAATGATTTTATTTGTTGTTTTTTTTCTCAGAATATTTGGAAAAAAATGTCTCGGCTGCTCAGAGATCATTGGCTCCAGTGAACTGGTGATGCGAGCCATGGATTCCGTTTTCCACCTGAAATGTTTCCTCTGCGTCGTCTGCGGTGTCAGGCTTCAAAAAGGCGACCAGTTCGTTGTGAAACAGGGCCAGCTCTTCTGCAGGCCCGACTACGAGAAAGAGGTCGAAATGTTCCAAGGATACGCTCAAGGTAAGTTGATCGTTAAAATCAACAAAATATATTCATAAAATTAGGCTATTCTCAGGAGATTTGAACTGCGAGGAGATGACGGCGACGAGAACCGACGGACGTCGAGGTCCGAAGAGGCCGAGAACGATACTCACGACACAACAGAGAAGGGCGTTCAAAGCGTCTTTCGAAATAAGCCCCAAGCCGTGCCGTAAAGTCCGAGAAGGCCTGGCCAAAGACACCGGGCTTAGCGTCAGGATAGTGCAGGCAAGTCGGAAACGCCATCCTAGCTCTCAATTAACCTCTTATCTGGGAAATGTTTATTATGCTCTTTAGTTTCAGACGATAACGAGACGTCCTTGTCGACGAATTACTTAACAATCGGATGTTTTCGTTAACATCTCTTTGTAAACACGTCAAATAAGGTGCGATAAAGTGTTAGCGCCATCAAAACGTATTAATAATTTTACAAATAAGGAAAAATACATCAATTGTGATCGTAAAAAATGTATTCCAAAATAGGAAGTCAAAGGTCGGTCAATTATTTTAGAACTAAGAAAAGCACCATATGCTATTTTTGTGCCAAGAAATGTTCGAAGTCATATAACACATTGTTCTCAAGTCCGTTTTCTGGACCCTGAAATGACAGGTCGTACATAGACCGTCTTCTGATACCAGTTCGAGTGAAATTTGAACCTTTCTTACTGTTGATAATTGGCTGGTCCATTGGTCAAGTGTTATTCCTATTAATAAATTTATGTTTAGTGGTGTAATTGACCTGATTTCAATTAATTATTATTTTTATCTAAGGTCTTGGTTGAGATGAAAAAACTAGTGTCACGAGCGGGATTCGAACCCGCGACCTTCGGCACAATACGCCTCTGCCCTAACCACTTGAGCTATCGTGATTTGATCCACTCGGACACCAACTCCCTTTTCTGGGGGAAAATTGTTTGTTACTAATCATCTTGGTCTGCCTACCTTCTAGTTCGTCTGTCATACGCTTTTCGGCATTCCAACATCTTCATTACTATCAGGGAAATAAGTTGCTGAAATACTGCTAGGACATACACAAATCCATTCAATGTGGCGATATCGCTAGTTACAGACCAACCCAGTGAGCATGTTATACCAAAATAATCGGTAGTAAGTTAAATTTATACCATTACAGACCTACCTCCAAAGGTAACTGGTGAAAATTTGAAGATAGCATAGCGTTCTCCTGGCCTTTCCAACGGTTCTTACTGATGATAATTGGCTGGTTCTTGGTCAAGAGTTAAGCCTATTACACATGGCGTTAAGCTAAAGTTGTGAACATGTGAATTGGACATTGGAAGAATGGGGACGAGTTCTATTTGCAGATGAGGTGAGAGTTGGCCTCATATGTCACATGGAGACCCTAAGAAGAAAGATACGCCCCATGCTTCTTCAGGAAGGATCCTATGGTAGGTCATTGATATTTTGGGGTGGCATTTCCTTAGATGCCTGCACCGAATTGGTTTTTGACACTAATTTTTTCACCACAACCAAGACCTTAGATAAAAAGTACTATTAATTAAAATTTATTCTTAAACCTTTTTCAATGGCTCCAGTCAGGCATTTGAGTAAGTATGACCACATAGCTTAGCACTTCAAGGTCAAGGTATGGTCGATCTAGGTCTACGGACAAGAGACCAAAATTCACCAAGCTCTACGAAACCGCAGCCTAACGGGAAATGAGATAAGAAATGTGATAAGAAAAGTCCGAAATCTTTCGATTTTCTCCAAGAAGCTAAGAAGAAGGTTCAATAATAATAACCTCAGGGACCGGCTCGTGGACTTCCTATTACCAAAGCTGGTGGCCAAGAAAATGGCCAGGCTTCAATTCGCACGGGAATATGTAAATTGGAAGATTGGGGTTCAGTTTTCGTTACAGTTGATATAAGAGTTGGTAATTTCATATGTAGACGCTCCATGCTGAACGGTTCTTCAGATGGGATTCCATGGTGTGTTATTTATGTTGTGGGGTGGCAATTCTTTGGACGCCCTCACCGAACATGTAGTGCCATTTGCCCCCCTCCACGTAGGTGAGAGAATCTTGCTAATGCAGGATTATGCCAGACCCCATAGAGCACGTATTGTGAATGACTACCTGAATGAGGAATTGAGCGCTTGGTTCAATTCCAGTTTTGAATTTGGGACCAACTTAAGCGACGAGTACGACGGCGAATCCCAAGTCCTAACATCTCGAACAGTTGGAAACGATTGTTCTCGATGAATGAGGAAGAATTCTTCAGGGTTTTATCAAAAATCATTTCCAAGCAAAGGCGTTTAACGGATGTGATACTCAAACGGACAGTAGAAATTTTCAATATTAAAAAGGACAAAAAAGTTTTTTTTTACATTTATTTTTTTGTTTTTGAATTTTCTGTTTTTTTGTTCTTTACTGAATAAACTCAATAAAATTCAAAAACCATAAACAATTCACAGACTTGTATCCAAAATTAAAGATTCCACACCAATGACAAATAAATACGTAATTTACAAAATCAATTGTTTAAATTGTCCGGCAACTTAAATCGGTATTTCATCCCAATATGTGGATAATAGAGTAAAGCAACATATCTATGATTGCAAAAAACCCATGCAAAATTCTACAGTAATGGCTACCCACCATTTTGAACACCAATACAAACATTTTCTTTATCGTGCCAACGATTCGGTCTTTATTGAGATCATCTTCAGGGCGTGGGATTTACAAACATTGTTTACATATAACAGTTACATTTTGGATGTGGAAAAGTGAATTTATACAATGCAAAATATATTTTGTACATATTCAATCAAAGTATTTCTACTCGCTCGAAGTGTTTTTCTTCTGTGTAATTGTGCCATTCTTGCGTGTCGTGTCAAAATACTTTGAGTGAGTGACCCCTGAAGATGATCTCAATAAAGATCGAAACGTTGGCACGATAAAGAAAATGTTTTTCTGAAACCTACATCACACCAGACCGCATCTCACGAATTCTAAATAAATATAATATAACATATAAAACGATCATCATATTCCACACATCAAACATACATTTAATTCTTCAACAATTTGGCTTTCCTTTTACTAATTATCCACGTCTATATAATCCTGAAAGGATAATCAGGCCGAACCATTAACCATTTTTTCCCATTTTCTGCTCCTTTCACCTCAAAGATGCCGACTCCCCATATAAAAATGTCTTTCTATCCCGACTTCCTTCCCCACCCCCTCAAAATCCAACATACATAAAAACATAAAACAGAAAAATCTCACTGGCACTGTCAACATGACACACAAGAATGACACATCTACACAGAAAACAAACACTTTGAGTGAGGACAAATATTTTGATTGAATCTAAAATTTCTATCATTGTATAAATTCATTATTTTCACGTCCTGCATGTATTTGTAAAATTTAAACAATGCATATAAATCCCAGGCCCTGAAGATGATCTCAATAAAGATCCAAACGTTGGCACGATAAAAAAAATGTTTTTCTAAAACTTACGTCACACCAGGCCGCATCTCACGATTTCTGAATAATTATCGATTTATACAATGCAAAATATATTTTTTATATTCAATCAAAGTATTTCTACTCACTCAAAGTGTTTGTCTTCTGTGTAATTGTGCCATTCTCAACACGACACGCAAGAATGGCACAATTACACAGAAGACAAACACTTTGAGTGAGTAGAAATACTTTGATTGATTATAAAAAATATATTTTGCATTGTATAAATTCACTTTTCTACATCCTAAATGTATTTGTTAAATGTAAACAATGTTTGTAAATCCCAAGCCCTGAAGATGATCTCAATAAAGATCGAAACGTTGGCACGATAAAAAAAATGTTTTTCTAAAACTTACGTCTCACTGGCACATGACACATAAGAATGACACATCTACACAGAAAACAAACACTTTGAGTGAGGACAAATACTTTGATTGAATCTAAAATTTCTATCATTGTATAAATTCATTTTTTTCACATCCTACATGTATTTGTAAAATTTAAACAATGTATATAAATCCCAGGCCCTGAAGATGATCTAAATAAAGATCGAAACGTTGGCACGATAAAAAAAAATATTTTTTCTAAAACATACGTCACACCAGATCGCATCTCACGATCTCCAAATGATCATTTACTCAATAACTTTTTTTAGAATTAGATAATAAACATTTTCTTTTTAAATTTCTTATTTTCACAGCCAAACCTATTTTTGGTATACAAAATATGAGTAAACCTAAAAACTTAAAAAATTAAGGATGGTGCGTTTATTTAGTAGATCATTGTAGTTTAAACGGTCGAAAAGATTGCAGGTAATTGTAATGGAACCAGAAACTGTTAGGTCAATGAGAATGAAATGCGCCGGCCATTCTATTTCAATAAAATAAGGCAGACAAAATAAAATAATTCCTTTTAATTTATTTTGACGCTTTATTGCGCATTTCATCAAAGCTCTTTTTTAATAAAATTAGTCCGCAAACATGGATTTCAATCAAGTCGCCCTGTAATTAAATCTGTATTTCGAAATAAAATCCGCAGTCGTCAAGTGTTAATAGGGTTTAGAAATTAATATACGTATTAACCCTCAGGTGACAGTCTGTCCTAAAGGGCTATCGTTTCATATAAAGGGAGCCCATATTGGATATTGACTTATAGGTTATTATAAAACATTAAATCTAATTTGAAATAGTCATTTTACGAATCTTTTTCTGATGAAAAAACACAATAATAGGGGTATTCGCGATGTTAGTTAACTCCTTTTAACTCGCCTAGAGAAATGTCCAGTAAGATCGTGAACGCCCCCTTCTTTTCTTAGCATGTTAAACGATCATTTTTCCGCAATGCTGCGCGTGGCGATTGGTAGAACCAAAAATAAAGCTATAACAGTTCTTGAATTCTTGTTGTTGTTTGTTTTAGTTTTGTTTTGTGTTAAATTGTAAGATGCCAGAAGTTAACGAAAAAGTAAAATTAATCAACTCTTTCATTCAAAATGCTCTGCACTCGAAAAGTACTAACAAATGACACGCTTCAATTTGTGCCTAACTTGCATCCTAACCTCTAACAGCGTACTACTTTATAGGATAGGGGATGTATCTTTTATGAAAGAGAGTATAACGACAAGTCAGAAATTAACAAAAGAAATGTATTGGTCTGATTTAATTTATGCTTATTTAAGAATAAAAATACGTGTGAACAAAAAACAGCTGTTAAATTCATGGCTGCCATGTTGGTTACCTACGCCTTAACGGTTAGCAATGTGACTACATTTTCGACCTAACAGCTAACATTGTCCCTGGCCTGTGAGATCGAGCAATGTTAACTAGCCGATTCTTACAAGTCTACGTCATCATTTTTCTCGATGTAACACGACTTAACACGTTAACAGTGTTAACATGAAGATTGTGAATACCCCTACTATTGAAAATGGCGAAAGGGAGAAAAAGAGAAGAAAGATAGACCAAAACGATTTGAAATGCCCGAACTTCATGTTCATTTTGTTTTAATCTATCTTACGCGTTTCATTACTTAGCCATCTTGAGCGCTGGTTTGTAGTTGGTCAGGGACATAAGCATGGCGAGGCAAGGCAGAACTGCACTTTTAGTCCTTTTAGGTTTATTCTTTTGTATTTCAGAATTTAAGTATTTTCATTGTGTTTGTACTTGTTCAGGGTTTTAAGCATGGTATGGCAAATAACACATTAGGAGTATTCGCGATGTTTGTAAGATGTTAACCCGTGTTAACTCGAATAAGTTAAACGTTTAATTTTCCGCAATGCTGCGCGTGGCGATCGGTAGAACCAAAAATAAAGTTATAACAGTCCATGAATGTTTGTTGTTGTTTGCTTTGGTTTTGTTTTGTGTTAAATTGTAAGATGCCAGAAGTTAATAAAAAAGGAAAATTAATCAACTCTTTCATTCAAAATGCTATCTTTGCACTCGAAAAGTACTAACAAATGACACGCTTCAATTCGTGCCGACAAGCCTAACTTGTATCCTAACCTCTAACAGCGTACAACTTTATAGGATAGGGGATGTATCTTTTTTGAAAGAGAGTATAACGACAAGTCAGAAATTAACAAAAGAAATGTATTGGTCTGATTTAATTTATGCTTATTTAAGAATAAAAATACGTGTAAACAAAAAACAGCTGTTAAATTCATGGCTGCCATGTTGGTTACCTACGCCCTAACGGATAGCAATGTGACTACATTTTCGACCTAACACCTAACATATGCCCAGGCGCGATAGATCGAGCAATGCTAACTAGCAGATTCTATCAAGTCTACGTCATCATTTTTCTCGATTTAACAGGACCTAACAGAGTTAACAGGGTTAACACAATGATCGTGTATAACCCTTTTTCAATGTGGCGGAAGTGAATTGCGTTAGGTGGGAGCATATCATGCTAAACCTAAAACATGAGTCATCGTCGCTCTTACATTCCACCGTCGTGGAACAAAGGGCAATAAAACGTATTAGAATGAATGGGGTGAACAAATGGTAGGGCGACTTCTTAATTGCCGGGGAAAACGAATGCGTTGTGCCGAGGGAAGAAATCCGTACAACAATGAAGATCCCGGGCATTGTTAATAATCCAAGCCGCAACAGTTAAATTATACCGGCTAATTGTCGTAATGTTGTAGTAAAAAGGGACGTGATGTATCGCCCTCGGGGAACCTCTAAGAGAAAGTCGGATGATCAACACTCTCCTCCTTTTTATGATTCCAGGTCTGGTTTCAGAACCAGAGGGCCAAAATGAAAAAGATGCAGAAGAAAGCGAGGCTCGACGCGAAAAACAACAACAGCAAAGAAGGGGACTGCATGGAAGACAAAACTGATAAAATTAAAGACGACGATCATAGTAAGTATTCCAAACTATCAGACTTAAAATAACCATCATAAGTTCATAAATTCATACAGAAAAACTATTTATTATCTAAAAAAAAAAAGACTGACCAAAACAACAGTTTGGATCTAATTATCTACGTGTTCTGTATGTGTATTACTTGTTTGTTTTTTGCACAGGAAAGTCGCGATTTGTGTTTTATGAGTTTCAGTTTTATTAAAGTGACGATGATGAACTCGTGTAGTTCTAGGGCAAGGTTTATAATCTTTTTTCCATTTGCAATTTTAAATATAACACGATGCTCTTGGACTACATAGATAAAGGCTAAAATAGCGACGGTTTGTCTCGTATTTCCAAAAATTTCTTAGCGTGGATGATTCATATAAATAACGCGATGTTTAGAACTTGAACTTTTTTTATTTTAAACTTAAAACCTCTTTAATTCATTAATTTTTTTAACAATCGTGAATATAAATTATGCATCTTCAACCAAACGGCCAAATGTGACGTAATTTAGATAGGAACATAGATAGATTTTTTATGTACAATAATGCATAAATAAAACAAAAGAAAAACTGTATACACACTAATTATTCAGAAATCGTGAGATGCGGTCTGGTGTGATGTAGGTTTCAGAAAAACATTTTCTTTATCGTGCCAACGTTTCGATCTTTATTGAGATCATCTTCAGGGCCTGGGATTTACAAACATTGTTAGCATTTAACAAATACATTTAGGATGTGGAAAAGTGAATTTATACAATGCAAAATATATTTTTTATACTCAATCAAAGTATTTCTTCTACTCACTCAAAGTGTTTGGCACTACGTTGGCACGATAAAGAAAATGTTTTTTCTGAAACCTACATCACACCAGACCGTATCTCACGATTTCTGAAGAATTATCGATTAACTGTCACTAATCACCACACATGCATACAGACTAATAGAATTGTCGTTTAAAAGTGAGAGAAAAATAGAGAGCGAGATATAGAGCGTGAGAGAAAGGGAGAGAGAGAGAAAAAAAAATGTTAAAGTATATAGAGGATGTCCCATGGAAGATGTCCACCCCGAACATACTTAATTTTGGTCCGATTTTGATAATTTTTTTTTTTTAATTTCGTCATGAAGACGATTTCTTACATGTTTCACCGGTTCCAGAAATAGCTTATCGTTTATTGTTTTTTAACATAAAATACGCTCTACGTAGCGTTTTTTAACTGGGACTTTCACGTTTTCATGGAAAATTTGTTGAAGGTTGAGGTCGGTGGGGAAAATGCTCTTCGTACAAATACGAAATGCGTTTCGTCGACATTGGTAATAAATTAATCTTTTTATGTTAGGTTTTGGTTGAAATGAAAAAGCCAGTGCCATGAGCGGGATTCGAACCCACGATCTTCGGTTCAACACGCCGCTGCTCTACCACTTGAGTTATCGTGAAAATAAAAATGGCAAGGGGAGGGAAAATTCGAAAGGTTGTAGGTTGAGACGGGGAATAGTGTCCGAGAGGATCGATAGATATCCTGAAAGCAAAGATTAAAATGCTTTCTTGAAAATGCTTTATTTTTTGCAGAAAATTGTCATTCTTCACTAAATAAGAAAGTCAAGTTTCCTGGAATGGTGTTATCGTAATCTTAAAAATAGTCTAGTTTTGAACCTGAAATGTCATTTTAAACAGTTACTTAGGGCGTATTTTATGTTTTAAAAAAACGAACCCAAATGTTATTTCTGAAAACGCTGAACCATCTAAAAATTAGACTTAATGACGAAAATTTTACAAAAATATGTATCCAAAATCGGACCAATATTAAAGAGGTTATATTAAAGTATATATTTCAACTAAAACAAAATAAAATAAATTTTACAATAAGAAAAAAGAAAGAAAATTAACAGGATACCCTCGTAAATCAGAAGAAAATAAATTTTAAAACATTAGGAGAAATAATCTATAAATCATGAAAGAGTCAAATTTTGAAATTCTGTATTAACAATGAAATAGTTTCAATACATTACCAATCAAGTGGTAATTTGGAGAAGAACATAAATTAAAAAAAGAGCAAAACTAAAGTTCCTCAAAATAGCAGGGAAATTTTTTTTTAATGTATCAACAAATAAAATAAGTTTAAGGAAGAAACTAAAAAAAAAATTAATTTTAAATTGTAAAAAATTGTATATTTAGGAAGGCGAAAGAAACCCAAAAATCATAATTAAAGCCCGGGTTTTTATGCAATTTGAATTTGTTTACAGAAAAACGAATAAAAATAAAGTAAACAAACAAGAACGTGAAAGGATAAATATGAGGGTCCACAAACCTGAAATTTAATTTGGATTTCATCTAAATTTCCAGCAACAAACACGTTAGCAAACTGACACAATAAAATTCTTTTTAAAAAAAAACTTTTGAGGCCATACTTCATGGTGGAGGTTTTTGCCGTTCCCGAAAAATCAATCCATCATGCTAGTCTTTATTATCGACGCCTGTCAGGCGCGTTTCGGCTTCTCATCAGCGTCAGAGTTGGGTTTTTGTTCATCGGATCCGTTTTCGATGTTCGAGGCTAGAAGCCAAAACTTGTGGAAATATCACAATTAATTAAGGCATTATATGTTAGAAAAGTCCAGAAGTTACAATTAAACAAAGGCTTTCTGGATTTTGGATCCGCGTGGATTTTCCTCTTCTCCCAATCTGTGGCCGATCCTAACTAGATCCTCGGCGAACTTCGAGAAAAAGTAAGAATTAAAAAAATAAACGAATGGATAAATAAAATTAAAAACTAATAATAGCGAGTACTGAAAAACGAAAGTTTTTATATTCCAGAAATGTTTTCTCCATGCTTTAGCTGTGAAACAGATGCCAGCATCCTTTAAGAAAGTTTTGGATGAGTCTGTTCAAATTATAAATTATATCAAGTCATGGCTATTGAAGTCCAACTTTACACAATACCAACTTCGCATACAGAACTGTCACAAATACAGGAATTAAGTTCTGAAGTCATATCTTGTTCATGGACCTCAATGTCAAATTGGCCAACGTTGTCAATGAGAGAAATGGCAATGTATACTATCATATTTATAAGATATTTTCATTAAAATAATTGAGATGAGTTTTTCTTTGCATGGGAAGAATTGCCGGTGGCAAAGTTCACGCCTTCAAAAGAAAAATCCAGTTTTGGGTTGCGTCTGTTGAGAAGAGGTGGACTTTTTGAGTCTTTTAAATAATTTTTTCGTTTATTGATGAAATATGTGAACGCCTTCGAAGTTGGGAAATGTTCTTTGAGCACTACATCCCAGCAGCTCGGGATACAATGCTGCAAGATGGGGTGGTCAAATCGTTTTCAATTTTGACAAAGCCAACCAGTCCATCCTCAAGTGAATACGTTTGATAGACATTATTTCGGACTCCACCTTGAAATCTATTTTCGAGTCCGATAGTTACCTACCTTTTTTACTGCGTTTGGAAAAGAAAAAATTTCAAGCGCTCGTTGAAAAAGCAAAACGTGTTCTTCCATATGCCACAACTTAATGATGCGAATTCGGATTTTTTACCTTTACAGATACCAAAACTAAATACCCAGGCTGTCTAGATGACAGACCCGACATCCATCTCCAGCTATTAAAAATTAATCGCAACATATCCAAATTGTGCATGCTAAAACAACCTCACTCCTCCCATTAATTAATTAATCATTAATGTTCAAATTAATACTTTCGCAATTGAGTAGAGTTTTAGAGACATATTTATCGATTAGTTCTTGGGAAACAAGAAGGTCGATTTGATATTTTTGGACGGAGCGGGCCAAAATTTTTCTGAACTCGACCAACCTGACCCACCCATAATGTCCAACCAGACCGTCTCACGTCTTTGGTGCCAGGGGAAAAAGGATTTTTGGGAAGTGACCAAAACAAACTGGCCAGGATAGGGATAGGGATAAAAGAGGTGGCCACAAGGCCTACTGCACCTCGACCTGAATGTGCTCCTCTGTTTTTTATAACTCACTAGTCATCAGATTGCTAATCAGCCTCCATAGCTTTGCCAGCTCCTTAGTGTAAAATCTTACTTGCGGTATTTATTGTCCTAGTTGCAAGAACCTGCACCTACATAGACCACAGAAACATAGAATGTGTTCTACGGTCTTCTCCTCTTCTTGGCAGTATCTGCACAGTGTTTCTTCTGTCTGTACTCCGGTGCATGTGCTTTCTTAAGTGGCTGTCAGGAGTCCAATCAGAATCCTGGTTCGGTTGGGTTGCCTTCTAGTAATTTTTTTGCAAGGTTTACGGATGGTCATTCTATGAATCAATTTGCGTGTTTCATACCTGTGATATTGTTCCATCAGGTTTTGGGTTCATTAAGGATTTTAAGATGTATCCTCTTTTGTGGCAGGATGCTAAGCCACGATAGGTTCAGGACCCATAGAGTCCATATTGGCTTTTGTCAGCCCCGAGTGCCCAGAGACCCATGCCATGGTCAGGTGATTAGTGGCTAACTTCCGTCAGGACCTCCGTGCAGTTCCAATCATTTCGCTTTCACCTCGCATGAAGCTAGGACATTTAGTGCTGCCTGACTGTCAAGAAAATGGCTATCTTCCGGGTATGTATTCCTAGCCTTTTTATTTCTCTGGCACATTGTTCAATCGCTATGATTTCAGACTGGAAAACTGTAGGTTTACCGTCAGTTGGCCTAGTGGTTCATCTCGAAGACCCCCAGCTTCCATACCCTTGGAGCCGTATACAAGTAGGAATTTGCCTTTAGTGGTTTTGTACTTTGTACTTCTTGGTGAAGTTGTACTTTGGAGTAGTGGCATCAATTGGCATATTTAGAATGGCACCTGCCTGTATCTCCTCCCTCAGTTTTATTTACATGATTTATCCTACCGTCATTTCGTTCTTTGGATTCATCCGTCATAGTGATACCGTTCTCCACCACCTAATTAAGAATGGACTGGCTAATCTAATTTATAAAACATTAAATTACTACATAAACTACATATACATGTACTTAATTTTAAATATTTGACTGCGAGGGGTCCGCCCTGGATTTTGTTCTGTTAAAGGGGTCCGCTGGCTAAAAAGTTTGGGAAGCCTTGCCTTAGAGGGTAGTAATACGTATCGTACAGACGTTTACGTTCTGTAAATAAGCGTCAATCGAATATTTAAAAGGGGGTAAAATAAAAATCGTACGTTTCAGTCTCCATGCCGGCCATTTTCCTTGGGTACGAGGGAGAGCCGGGAGTAAGGAGGGTTTGTCACCATGGATACCCGGGTCCTACCGCGCCAACCCCTTCTCATGCTAATACCAGGGCCTCCTGGCCCTCTTTATATTCACTATCAACCCTCCGACGTGACTCGCCGGCGACACGTGCGAATTTAAATGTGGGCCAGGAATCTTCACCCCGCCTTCCTCAGGTTATGAAATCAGTCTGAAACGTGGTTCGCCTATTCAATTTTAAATTGTTCTATTGAATGTTTATTGTTACCGGCGGTTGGAAACATTCCTTGTGATATTAATTTCCACCCTGTATATGCAAACAGGAGTTTTTTCACAATTAAAATTATTTATTGATATTTTAAATATTAATTTTTAATTAAATATTATTGCTATTATTAGTCCCGATGTAGGTGTTTTCTTTATAATCGATCTTATCCCTGATGTTCATTTAATACAAAATGTCTACTCACAAATACTCTATTAGCACAAGAATGGTACAAATAAAAAAATAATAAAATTTAATAATAATAAATAAATCCAATTCACCCGTCACTCCAGCAATTACAGTAATGAATTAGTTCAGTAATTTAATTTTTAACTTAATGTTTTTTTGCTTTCTGCATAGATTTCATTTTTTTATTTTATTTTTAAGTAATGATTAGTGGGCTATTTCTTATAATTTGCTAAATTTTTATGTTAATTTCATTTATTTTAATGTAAATCAATTTCCTTCTTTTGCTTATTTGTATCTTTTCCGGTTTTATTCGTAATCTATGTTGAGTTTATATCTTCTTTTTTCATATTTTTTTCTTTACACTTTTTGGGACATTTTTTATTTCTTTATTCTTATTTTTATTTTAAGTTTCATATAGAGTTTATGCTTTCTTAATTTTAGTCTCTCTCTCTCTCTCTCTCTCTCACTCTCTNGCTCGCAATATAGCAAAATTAGTTCATTTTAAAAGCGAAGTATACAAAATGAACTTACTATGAAGTTACTACAAAGTTGGCTTAAGTAATTCTACCAATAAATTTTAGAAAGGTTCTGCAGAGTTACTTTGGGAAATCTAAGATCGTATTTCGTATCCAGCAAATACAAAAGTTTTCTCTCTTTGTAAAAGTTAAATATTAATTCAATTTTACACCGGTACGCGAGAATTTCACTGAAAATACAGTATCTTGAAGCAATCAACACTTTCTATTGTACTTTTTAAGCCATGGTTCATCATTGTCGGTACCTTCTTTCGACGGAAGATCAATCGGAAATATTGAATTTTTTTTTAAAGTATTGTGAAGCTCAATAATTTCGTAGAAGCATTAAGAATTCGGCTTACAGCATAGAACATATAGGGTTGTATGGCAGGTATGGCAAAATTGACCATTATTGGTATGGCAAAATTGACCATTATTAAATTAAATTCACCTTTTGCAAATAAATTTCATAATTTTACAAATTAAATTCTTCATTTTGAAATTAAATTGCCATTGATTAAACAGACTCGTTTGCTAATTAAATTTACATTTTTGCAAATTCAATTTCATAAATTTGTAAACTAAATATAACTTTTTGTAAATCAATTTAACACCTTTGAAAAATATATTGACTCTTTTGTAAACTAAATTCACGCAACTGAATAATTTCATATTTTTTCAAATCAATTTCGTAAACAATTAAATGCAGTGTTTTGCTAATTAAATTCACCATTTGTAAACCAAATTCACCCTTTTGTAAATTAATTTCATATTATTACAAGTGAATATCATAAATTTGCAAACTAAATTCACCATTTTGCAATTTAAATGCCGTCTTTTACTAGTTGATTCAAAATTTTCCAAACTAAATGTACACTTTTTCAAATTAAATTCACATTTTTGCAAATCTATTTCATAAATAGGTCAGACAAAATAGACCATTGATCAAATATTCATTACAAAGAAATGCATTTTTCACATTAAATTATTCATTTTACAAACTAAATTCACACTTTTGCAAATCAATTTCATAAATTTGCAAATTTTTCTAATTAAATGCAGTCTTTTGCTCAATAAATTCACCATTTTGCAAACTAAATTCACCAATTTTCAAACTAAACGCACCATTCTGCGAATTAAATTCACTGTTTTGATATATAAATTCACTACTTTTCAAACTAAATTAAACATTTTGAAAATTAAATTTCTCTTCCTGAAAAGCAATTTCACCTCTGCTAAAATTTAGCTTTTTGTAAGTTAATTTAACACTTTTGCAAACTAAATTAACCCTTTTGCAAATTAAATTTATATTTTTGAAATTCAATTTCATAAATTTGCTAAATAATTTCACCATTTCCCAAATCAATTTCATAAATTTGCAAATTCACCATTTTCCTAATTAAATGCAGTCATTTGTGAAATAAATTCTCCATTTTTGAAAATCAATTTTATATATATTTTCAAAGTAAATTCACCACTTTTGTATTAAATCTATCATTTTATAAATTAAATTTATATGTTTGCAAATTAATTTCATCAATTTGCAAACTAAATTCACTTTTTGTTAATTAAATTTACATGTTTACAAATCAATTTAACCCCTTAAATTCAACGAAATTGACCCTTTACAGAATATAGTGTTTGTCGAAGTACACTGCATGGCTATTTTGCAGCCTTGGCTCTTTAAAGGGAGCAAGCAGGAGTTTTACCCGATATGGAAACCCTTCTTGAACACCGCTGTGAATTTCTGGAGTCACCGTTCTGGTGTTTGAAAGAAACAAAGATTGATTACGAATTGTATTATTTTGGAGATTCCTCAACTTAATCGTCACCCATCCATTTTATAGCAGAAATATGATATGATTCATTTATTAAATAAATGTACATCGACGGTTTTCATGTTTGCTGTGCTTGGTTTTAAGCATACTTTTTTGAAAACTTAACAAAAACTAAGTAAAAATGTATAAACTTGTATGTTTATATATTTTTTTATAATTGTTTTTAACAGAGAATACAATATCCGAATCGAGGTTATTAGGGTTAGACCATGTGTGAGAGTGGGAGCGCCGGCTGCCGTTTACGACGCGCCTTCTCTTCAATAACCCTTCTAAGAGTTTTATTGCTTACAGAGAAAATTGCATTGCGGGGACATCTCGTACTTTCTCCGACGGATGTCGAATCGTTTTGTCTTAAGTTGAACCCTTTCGCTTTTTCCAGGTTCGCAGGGTTGCGGCGGTGGCGGGGGATACCTTAACGACAGCTGCAGCGACACGGAGACCGGCCACTGTCTTCCCCCGGACACGAGGGAATACCTCCAGGTCAAGGAATCTCGCGAGTACCTGCCAATTAAGGTGGAATCGGCCGAGAAGGAGGACGACGTCTTTTACAAGACCATGCTCGTCGAACACCAAAACAAGCACTACCTAAACCCAGTCGGTAAATACACCATTCGATTCTGTTAGTGACTTCAATTTCATTCATCCTGAAAATTAGGTATTTCTTAACCAAAATTGTCTATAAAATACACCAAACCGAAGTTTATGTATGATGTATGCCAGCTTTTCCTTGACAATTTCATCTTCTAGCTGCATTAGCACCGCTGACCCAAAAAATTCACACACTTTAGCACTAAAATGATAACTTAAAACATCTTTCTTTTACTGTTCGAATGTAAAAATTAGAAGTATACCTATATATATTAATCATCATCGTCCATCTTGATCAACAATATCATCAATCAATGAGTAACATGTCTGTAATTTAATATGTGCAATAATGTAATACATGTTTCATTTTTCGTTGTTTTTAAACATTCAATCCTTGTCGATTATATAAGTGTGTGGTGTTTAGTGACCGTTAGTCAAAGATTATTTGGAGATCGTGAGATGCGGTCTGATGTGACGTAAGTTTTAGAAAAACATTTTTTTATCGTGCCAACGTTTCGATCTTTATTGAAATCATCTTCAGGGAACATTGTTTAAATTTTACAAAGGTGTGTAGCGTGGAAAAAATTAATTTATACAATGCTAGAAATTTTATATATATATATATATATATAATGAATTTGTACAATGCTAGAAAATTTTAGATTAAAAAAATGAATTTATACAATGCTAGAAAATTTTACAATGTTAGAAAATTTTACAATAAGAAAAAAAATGAATTTATGCAATGCTAGAAAATTTTACAAGAAAAAAAATGAATTTATATAATGTTAGAAAATTTTAAAAAAAGAAAAAAATGAATTTATATAGTGCTAGAAAATTTTATAATAAAAAAATGAATTTATACAATGCTAGAAAATTTTAGATTAAAAAAATTAATTTATACAACGCTACAAAATTTTACAATAAGAAAAAAATTAATTTAAACAATGTTAGAAAATTTTACAATAAGAAAAAATTAATTTATACAATGCTAGAAACGTTACAACAAGGACAAAATGAATTTATACAATGTTAGAAAATTTTAAAATTAGAAAAAATGAAGTTATACAATGCTAGAAAATTTTAGAATACAAAAAAATGAATTTATACAATGCTAGAAAATTTTAGATAAAACTATAAATTTATACCAATGCTAGAAAATTTTAGAATAAGAAAAAAATGAATTTATACAATGCTAGAAAATTTTAGATTAAATCAACATATTAGCTAACAACACTCAAAAAACACTCAAAGTTTTTAGAAAACACTCAAATTGTTTGTTTTCTAGAAAATTTTCTAGTATTGTATCAATCCATTTTTTTCTTATTTTAACATTTTCTTACATTGTATAAATTCATTTTTTTTATCTAAAATTTTATAGCATTGTATAAATTCATTTTTTCACATCCTACGTGTATTTGTATAATTTAAACAATGTTTATAAGTTCCAGGCGCTGAAGATGATCCCAATAAAGATCGAAACGAAATCTAAAATTTTCTAGCATTGTATAAATTCATTTTTTTATTATAAAATTTTCTAGCACTATATAAATTCATTTTTTTCTTTTTTAAAAATTTTCTAACATTATATAAATTCATTTTTTTTCTTGTAAAATTTTCTAGCATTGCATAAATTCATTTTTTTCTTATTGTAAAATTTTCTAACATTGTAAAATTTTCTAGCATTGTATAAATTCATTTTTTTAATCTAAAATTTTCTAGCATTGTACAAATTCATTATATATATATATATATATATAAAATTTCTAGCATTGTATAAATTAATTTTTTCCACGCTACACACCTTTGTAAAATTTAAACAATGTTCCCTGAAGATGATTTCAATAAAGATCGAAACGTTGGCACGATAAAAAAATGTTTTTCTAAAACTTACGTCACATCAGACCGCATCTCACGATCTCCGAATAATCATAATTATATACTGTGTATAATATTATATATTACATATATTGGGTTGTCCGGAAAATAATGCAGGATTTTGGTATTAAACAAAAAAAAAGAAACTAGTTACTTTAAAGCAATGTTCTTTAATCAAAATAATTTCCCATACNCATACAAATGAGTAATCCTGTAAACGTAAACAGAATATTTTATATAGATTTTTTTTAATGAAAACTTAAAATCCTGCATTATTTTCCGGACAACCCAATAGTTATGTATGTTTGGTTGAGTATTGTACAAATATCTCAAAAGAAAGTATCTTGTAAGACCTTAACCAAAATTATTACAGGTTAGGTTTAGATTTAAGTTACTTGGAGGCGGTCCTCTTTGCGTATCGCGAAAAATTTTGGTCTATTGTGCATCATCTTGTATAGAACATTGCGCTAAGCTTAAGACTTTATAGTAAACTTCTTTTTATTTGAGGGGGGCACATTAATTTTACAAGAAAACCAAACTCCGCGAGTGACCGCCTGCAGCCGGAAAGGAAAAGGTCATATACAACAATCATTTTAACCTTATTTTTATACTGTGACGCCTTCGAGGATTTGGATAAAAATCGTCACATCTAGATTGGCATGGAAAAGTCAACATCCCGCAGGTCACCTCCTCCTGTCCGACGCGCATCATCCCTCGACGACAGGCATCAGACGACCACATCGACTCGACCCTCGAAGCTGACTTAGATATCCACTTTACACTCTCTCCATCATGCACTGATAAACTGCCTGAAGCCACAATTGTGTTAAAACTAAAAGGTTTTACTATCTCCTGACATTGCTTTAAAGATTTGAAGTTGTTGCCATTAAACTCCGCAGACATAACGAAAGTCTGTTCCATATCTTCATAAACGTGGTATGTATAAGTAAACTTTTTCAGATCTTGTCTTTTCCTCTTCAGGGTGTATGAATTTCATTGGACATTAGCCTTTGTACATTGATTCTTCTATCTGGCAATATCTACAACGGCTTGGTTCTACTGGATCGAGTCTATCCATATGCCTCAAGAGCATGTAATGTCCAGTGAACAATCCTGCGATTATTCTATTCCTGTCACATCCTTGGTTTAGTAGTTTCTGCTATGGTCTTGGCCACTCCTGTGGAAATACCGACAGCTGATGTAGTAAGATACCTGGGGCCGTATATTTCTAAAAGACTGTCGTGAAGAATCACTGCCCAAAGGTTCTTCCATCGCTACCGAGATACTGGAGGTTACTGAAGAATGCATGGATGAAATAGTAGTATCATGACATAACTCAGAGATGATCGTTTTATTGTTTCGAATGTTCTCCGAAATCGACATTCTACTGCTGTTGAGATCAAGCAACCACTTCAACAAATTAGAATGTTAATGTCAGTCTCTGCATTGTAAGAAGACTTTCAGAAGCTCGATTATGCGCGAGAAGGCCAACCATTGGTTCAGAACTTTGGTCAAGGCACAGAACAGCTTGGTTAAGTTTTGCAAGAAATTACATCGATTGAGCTGACCAAGATTGTACTAAAAACTTGTTTTAGAATGAGTCAAGGTTTTATTCGAGGTCTCCTGACTGCTGAGAGAAGATTTGAAAAAGAACAGGAGAGCGATATATCCCCGGAACATTTTCACCCCGGAGAAGCTCTGTAGGTGGTGGTGTTATGATTTGGGCAGGCTATGAAAGGCCGCAAGAACTTGATCTTCATCGAGGGTTCCCTAACAGCTGCGCATGCGTTGAAGAAGTGTTATCAGAAGGTGTTCCACTAATTGGCGTCTGTTTTATTTTTATGGCAATAAAAGGCCCCCGCTAGGATCGTTGGTGACTACTTGATACGTGTTTCGGTTCAATGTTTGTAGTGGCCAGCATGTAGTCCCGGACTTAAAAAGCTATCTAACACTTTGGGATGAATTGTTAAAGAGGGTAAAAAGTCGTCCAGTGACGTCAGAACATTTGTAGGAATTAGGAATGGCGCTGTTGGAGGGGTATGAAAATATTCCACAGCACTACATTCAAAAGTACAAAAAAAATCTATGCCACGTCTAATGCAAGAGGTGATCAACGCAAGAAGAGAAAATACTCCGGATGAATTGAATATATTTTTCATTGTTTCCATAGTAACATTTTTGGTAAAATTGTTTTACTCAGTTTAATTTGTATTTATTTTTATATCGTATATTTAATTTTAAAAATATCCAGTAAACAGCAAGAAATAAAAATTATAACGATAGCATGTATTTACTTTTAAAAAAATGGATGCCCTTTTTCCCTCTCATTGTGCATACGAACATATTTGGCAGATCTGTGTGTTTTTTGCTATGAAACATCTTACATTGGACATTAACGACTTACCTGAGTTAATGTTGACATAAAGGATTCACCGAACCACTAATAAAATTAAATAAATAATGACTGTTTTACTCACGAATCCAACAAATTAATAATAATGTTTTATTTAACTATAAAAAAATACAATTACATTACTAATAACTTTTTTCAATTAATTAATCTTTATGTAAGGTATTGGTTGAGATAAAAAAAGTCAGTGTCACGAGCGGCAAAAATTGAAAAATGGCAAAAAGGAGGGAAAATTCGAAAGGTGGGGTTGAGATGGGAAGTTAGTGTTCGAGTGGATCGAGGTCACGATAGTTCATGTGGTAGAGCAGCGGCGTAATTAGCCGAGGGTCGTGGGTTCGAATCCCGTTCGTGACACTGACTTTTTTATCTACCTTAAATAAAGATTAATTAATTGAAAAACGTTATTCGGTCAATCAGACCATTGTAATTAATAATAACAATGGACTAGAGTCCTGTCGAATTTTTTAATAAATACCAAATATCGAAGTAAACACCTTAAAATAAGACAAAATTTTTTTTGAATAAAATGAAACATTAATTAAAATTAAATTCATTCAACAAAAACTTTCAATATTTTAAAATAGTAATGGTATATGAATAAAAATCATCCCAATTGTCTCCATTTAAAATGGATAAACACTGATTATGTGAGAAAGATATCTGGTTGTAATAAATTAAACGAAATTCTGACAGGATAGGACATCCGTCTAGAAAATGCATTAGTTTCGTTCGGAGTTGCGTAGCGAACAAAGGTAATTATAATCTTTGTTATCTTTTAAGGTTGAGATTAAAAAGTTAGTGTCACGAGCGGGATTCGAACCCAGGACCTTCGGCTATTTCTAAAATTTCATTTTTAAATATCCACCTATCGAACGGTCGTAATTTAAGTACATTCGTAGGACTTTACGTGCGATTAAGCACCATTTTCCTGTGAATGGATTAAAATCAAGTCCCTTTGATAACAAGGAACGGTTATTTTAACCAGATTTCTCTTGAATGGTACACTTCAGGACGGGAATTAGACATGTGGAAATAATTATGGCCAAAGTTTGTTTTAATCTTTTTAAAAAGATAGTTCCTACTCACAGTAAGTATTGTTCCGG